ACGCACATACACACACACACACGCACACATGCACACACAGACACACACACAGAGACACACGCACACACAGGCACACACCACACACACACAGACACACACACACGCATGCACATACACACAGACACACACACAGACACACGCACACATGCACACACAGACACACACACGCACAGCACGCACACACAGACACATGCACACATGCACACACAGACACACACGCACACAGATGCACACACACGCACACACACACACCACACACACACACACGCACATACACACACACACATGCACACATGCACACACAGACACACACAGAGAGACACACGCACACACAGACACACACCACACACACACAGACACACACACACGCATGCACATACACACAGACACACGCACACATGCACACAGAGACACACGCACAGCACGCACACACAGACACATGCACACACAGACACACACGCACACAGATGCACACACACGCACACACACAGACACACACACACGCACACACACACACCTCTTCTATCTAGCAGCTGCCTAGAAGCCTCTCTTCAGACAGGTCTTGGACCTCTGAAATTCTGTATCTCTGAGCTTATTACTACCACACTCCTCAGACCCACATGACCCAAGGCAGCTCCTGTCCCCAACTTAGCATCTTATGTTCACCCATATCCTACTTCCAGACACTCAGACATCACTCTGTCTTTCTCAGGCACCTCACTCGCTGCCACATAGCCATCAAGATCTGATGAGTTAATATCTAACATTACTCTGTTCCAGGCATAGCCTGCCATCCCCTCCCTTGTCTTGAGGTCCCAGCTTGGTGCCTGTATACCCACTATAGCCTCTTGCCCCATCTCTGGGCAATGAGGGACTGATCTTCACTGGAAGCCTCACTCTGAAATGATACTTCTCTTATAGGTCAGATTTCCCCATTCCCTCCTTCAGACCAGGTGGAGAAGTAGTCTAAGACTAAGCAGGGAGAGTTGGAGAAAGTTCTCTTGACCTTACTCCCAGGGTGCTTGAGTGCTCCTAGAAGTCCATCTGGCCCCGTTGTGCATGACTAGTATATTATAAGGACCCTGGAAAGGACTCAAAATTGACTTTGGGGCAAAGAGGCTAGGAGGCTTCTGTTATTCTCCATCAAAGACCAGACCACACTTTGAGCTGCCAAATCACAGTTATCTTTATTAGACAGAGAAAGGAATGCAGGGTGTGCCACACCCATCTCCTCCTGCCCTTTTGCCTCTCTCTGGGGCAGATCCTGAGGATGCCAGGCCAGCCATAGCACAAAAAGACATTCCAGAGAAGGCACCAGGGACTACATAGGAGCAGTAAGTACAGGGACCCTGCACAGTCCTCACCTTGGCTAGAGACTGACCTCACAAGGCCAGGGTGTGCAAGATAGAGACTGACACTCTGGGTGCTGGGGGACCATACCCAGGTGCTGTAGGTCAAGAAATTGCCTTGCCTCTGCCAGGAAAGAAAAGGGAATCTTGACCTTCAAAGTCTTGCTGGAATGTGGCCTGACCCCCTAGGTCCACACCAGGGACCATAACCCCATGCAGCAAGGAATGTGAACAGGACATAGGGAGATCCCCACAGGACTGCTATCTTCAGATTAGACCAAAACACCAGAGGAGACCCTGGATACATCTCTGTTGGGGACCCTGCTGTTTTAGGTCATAGTCTCTCCATGTCCGGATAGCCGCAAGCCGGCTCGGTGTTCTTATGCAGAGACTCCCTTTCTCAGCGGGGCACCTTCCTACTCTCTTCCTGACTCACTTTGAAGTGGCCGTCACAGATACATGACCTCTGGCAAAGAAACTGCCAGGTTTTCCTGTGTGATAATCAGGCACTGTCTGACAGCCTGGCAGAAGCCCATGTCTCACTGCGCCTGTGATACAATCTCCCCAGAGGGGGTTGTCCTTCCGTCAGCAACCACTAGCGAAGATCTTGCTTTCGCTGTTCCTGCACCTCCCCTCGTGATCCGGAGGCCAACGGATAGCATACACAGAGGGAGTGTCCAGCAGATCACTGAACTTGTCTGAAGCTATATCTGTGTCTCACTGCGCCTGTGATACAATCTCCCCAGAGGGGGTTGTCCTTCCGTCAGCAACCACTCGTGAAGATCTTGCTTTCGCTGTTCCTGCACCTCCCCTCGTGATCCGGAGGCCAACGGATAGCATACACAGAGGGAGTGTCCAGCAGCATGGAACAGAACTCGCCCTGCAGCTGACAGCAACCTGCAGAGTCGCCAGCATCCGGTAGCCGCAGAGAGCCAGGGACCCGCCTCAGCAACACGGTGCGTGAAACCCGCGCACCCCAGCGGCACACGAAAGACCGGCGCCACGCCAGCAGCTGGCGCTCCGAGATCCCCGCGCGCCCACACATCTCAAGTCATACATTTCTATTTCCATGTCCCTTGGTCACCCACATTGCTGGAACACAATGAAAGGAAGTCAGGCAGCCCAAATCCCACTCCTGGGCCAGGAAACCCTTCTCTACGTCCCAACAGGGGCTGCCTCTGCCACTTCCTGGATCCTGTGGGATTTAGCTGCTGCCTGGCCTAAAGACCTGGGCTCTGCTTTGCTGACCAGAGTGGCTAGTGATGAAAATAGCATCGTAATCTAAGCAGCTTAGAATAGCAAGGGGATCAGACACTCCAGAGGCACCCCTGCCTCCAGCCCCAGGAAAACAGGAGGAGACACTAGATCTAAAGCCCTTCCCTTCCTCTATGCAAAACTGGTTTCTGAAAATTCTTCTCTCCTCTCCCAAGAGGTATTTTGAAACCAAAGCACATTGTAGAATGACTTCTTTTAAAAACTGGTTTCTGAAAATTCTTCTCTCCCAAGAGGTATTTTGAAACCAAAGCACATTGTAGAATGACTTCTTTTAAAAACAAAAGATTTATCTTATGAGATTTACATCTCATATACTGTATGACCTTGAGCCCTAGCATGTGACTTATAAAAACAAAGTTATGTAAATGATGTGGATGCGTGAAATCTGTCTGGAGAAGTGGCTCACAGAGGCAGCCTGCCCCCTCCAGGATGTGCCATCCCTTCTGAGGGAATGTAGGAGACACAGTTGGCTTTGAATTTTTGCACAAACCTTGGTCTTGAGTAACAAGTCTCTTCCTGTGCTCACAGAGACAGACAGCATGAATGGGGTTAGAAGCGGTCGGCCCAGCCCTGGACCGATAAAGCAGTTACTTTTATCCAAAGTCCTGACTTTCTAGCCTCTCTTGAGGCCTGAATTCTAGCCTGTCTCTGAGGAGGTGCCACCCAGGGCACCCAAGCTTCACATAAGAAGACCTGTCATGAAGGTGTACCACCACCATGTGATGCATTATACATGTGTAAGTACACATATATTTATGTGTGTCTGTCTTGTGTGAATGAATGCAATGTGTATGCAAGTGCCTATATTGGCCAGAAGAGGGCATCAGATCATCAGAAGCAAGCTAGAGTTATAGGCAGAGTGAATTACCAGATGGTGCTGGGAATCATACTCAGGTCCTCTGGAAGAGCAGCAAGCTCTCTTTGCTGAGCCATTTCTCCACCTCTAGGTGTCTTCCTTAAACTGTATGTAGAAAGTGGCTCTCTAGTATGTTTAGAATGCTGTAACAAAAAAAACATACACCAGGAGGCTTATAAACAACAGGAATTTATTTCTCACAGTTCTAGAGGCAAGAAGACTAGGCCAGGTGTCAGCAGATACAGTGTCTTGTATGAGGGCCACTTCCTGGTTCAGAGCTCTCTCTTTCTAGCCATGTCCTCAAGAAGGAAGTGGGGAGCTAGCACTCTGGATTTGTAAAGACATTAATCCTAACTTCCCAAAGGGAGCTTTTAGATTTTCACAGGAGCTTTGAGGGATAAAAACATACAGACTATTGCTCATGAAGGAGAGAACTTGGACAGGCATGATTAAAGAGCAGAAGAGCAGGAGATCTGAAAAAGGAATGAGTGAGGATTTGACTCCAGAGGGAGCCTGGGAGCCCAGCCAGCTGATACCAGGGTCTGCAGCATTAATAAACTGAGTCATCTCCCAAAGTCACCTCTCAATTTATAGATTTGAATGGGTGTGAATCAACTCGCATTGACATGTCTAAGGGTCTTCTGCATCTTGTAACAGGACACCTTCCTCTTTCAAAAGATTGCAGAGGAATTATAGCTCAATCCACAAAGTCAGAGAAAAAGAAGCGTGCACATACTTTTGACAGATGCCACCTTCTGACCCCAGAAGCTGTTCAAGATTTGGCAAGAACGAAGCCAGAGCCAGGCATCTCATTCATTTATTCACTTATGCATTCCTTCATCCATTCAACGGATATCGTTTGAATACCTACTGTATATCTACATTGCTCTAGACCACGGAAATACAGCAGTGAACAAAATAGCAAAACTCACTTTCATTCTAGTGATAAGAGCCACAGTAAACAAGCAAAATCAGTATAATACTTAGTATACAAGATGGTGAAAAGTGTGCAAGAGTGGTGTGTGTGTGTGTGTGTGTGTGTGTGTGTACAAAAGTAGCAAGGTAGGTTGAAATTGAAGGCAGGGAGTCCTGGCCAGCCTCTAAGGTCCAATTCTCAAGACACTCAGTATGCTTCATAATCATGCTGGCTCAGCAGACATGCATGGCTGGCTGGAAGGGACACCAGCTCAGATCTGGGGGTCATGGCATTTTGTTCTTCCACCTCAGAGCAGTGGCTTTAGGAAAGTCGTGAACCTCTTCAAGCTTAAATTCTGCAGTAGGTTGAAAATTAAGTATCTATATCCTACACTGTTGTGAGGGTGAAATAATAGGATATAACTGTCTTTTGGGACCCTCACTCTGATACCCCCCATCGTTGTTCTTTCCTGCCCTATCCAGGCCAGAGGGGAAGATGGCTCCTGTAGATCAGTCAGAATAAATGGTATGTGCTCTGTTTTCTCTTTTCACATATTCATCATATGAAGGTCTACACAACATGTGACTTGAATTAATGGCCCCCATTCCCTCATCATGACTTCATCAGGCCACCAAACACTTTCCTACTCCATCACTTTGGGCCCAGATATAGATTTACATTGGCCCAGGGAAGGTTAGACTTGTGTCCCAGGCAGAGACTTGGGATCTACCTGGGCATTTTAGCTGCCACCTTGTGCTCCCTGTTTCAATGTGGTCAGCCCATCAGCCCAGCAGGAAAAAATAAGCATAGACTTGAATTAACCTGCAACCTGAGTCCTGCCCACTGAGCCCAGCTCAGTCCTGGCTTTGTTACAGAAACACTGTTTGTTTGCACCTGAGATCTTATGAACAAAAAAACACTAGTGAAGGCTGTGACCATGGACTTCATATTCTTCCAGGCAGGGAGCTGGCCATTTTCCACACACCCTCCTTGAGACTCTGAAGATGTTTCTAAGACACAGGTGTTATCACACCATTTTAAAGATAAGAAAACTGAAGTTCAGTAAATTGAATAAACATGCCCAAGGTCACAGCGCATAGGTGGAAGAGCCCAGATTGAATGCAAGCTTGTCTGCCATCAAAGCCAATAATGTTGTGGTTCCAATGTGCTTCCATGCAGAGCTCTTGGGACAGAGCCGGGAGCAGCCTTGCTCTCTCGGTTATGAGTCCTACTACCCATAAGCAAAGTGCATCTTTTTAATCCATGGCTCTCCTGGAAAACATTATCCACAAGGGCTGGGCCCTTTCTCTGATTACAACTGAGATATTCATCTCTGGGAAGACCCCTGTGACAACCTCCTCAGCACTCTACAGGAGCCACCTCTGCTTCACCACTGGACAGTGGACGCTGTAGCCATTGGTGGACTCCTTGGCCATCTTCTAACTGTGTGAAGTCATGTGCCTAGAGAGATGGTGGCGCTCTCGAAAGCACTCATGGCAAACAGGGCAAATGAGTGCCGCCCCTCTACGTTTCTTAGAATGTGGATCAGGGCTCATGTGTTCTCTTTTGTGGTGGGACCGCATGTGGAAGACCAAGTCAGCTGTCAGGCGAAAGGCTAGGCTGCACTTGGCACACCAATTCTGGGTAGACAAGCCCAGGGAAGAGAGTGTGGGTGGCAGGAAAGCCCGAGAGGCCCTAGCAGAGGGCACTGAGGGTGTGGGTACCTGCACCTGGGTGTGTTCTAGCCACTGCGTGGGGGCTCTCTGGAAAGCGTTGCAAAGTAGAATGTTCTGTGACAGCATGTGCAAGTTCCAGAAATCACCTACGAGCTTGACAGTTGACAGTCGAGCCCAACATGGGCTATCTACAGTGGTGGGGGATCCTGAGAGCTCCTGTGGGTTCTCGGCACTTCCACCCATCATAAGCATAGGAAAGCAACCAAGCGTCTCTGCTGGGCACTTGGCTGGCTTGCTGAAGGCACTTCTCTGCTCTCCTCTGGCTGCACCTGGCCACACTGAGCAGACTATGCCACCAGCTGGGTCTCTGGGAACACTGGAGATCAGCTGCTGGGGGCCAAGCTGGCCTGCCGAACCCTCTAGCTCCCTCTTCTGGGCCTGAATGTCCTCCATCCTCTCTTGGAGACAAGGTAGCTCTGTAAAGATGCTCTGCCTCTGCTCTGTGTGTGCCCTTCTGGCCAATGGCCTGCCCAATCGTGGTTTGCTCAGCTCTCTGGACATTGCCAGTTCGGCATAGACCACATCCCGGCCACCTCTGCCTGCAGCAACCTCAAAGTCCAGGTGGTTTGTTTTTTCGAGCTGCACTGGCTTGCAGTCCTGGCTCTTCTCCGGTTCACTGTTCTCAGCCAAAGGGCTCAGAGGACCCCTCTTCCCCTCAGCCATGGGATCAGCAGGGCATGCCGACATAAGCAAGGTCACTCCAGCAGGCATCAGTCTTCAGGGCTTTAGGGGTCCAAAGGATTGGCCCTCACCCCCAGGTAGAGCTATGAGACTGGAAAGTTCCTAGCAAAGCTTGGACTGGAGACACTTGGCCACTTGTGTCTGTAGAGAAAGAGAGCAACAGACAGAAAGGCAGGCATTGGTCATTCAGTATACCATGAAGACTGCACTGACTTCTGGCCTTCCTTTGCTGTCTCTGAAGTAGGAGTCGTGTTCTCTGAGGATAAAGGAGTCAAGGAGGAGCTCAGATAGTTTGGACTCCAGCAGCAAGTGGAAACAAAGGTGTCTGCTAGAAAGAGCCCAGGAGTAACAGCATCAGTGGAAGACACCACACCGAGACTCCACTTGAGGGGTAGGGAAAGGGGCCTCTGGCGGCAGTAATGAAAGCATTATAGATCACCTACCAATAAGCTGACCCTGCATTGTGACCCTGCATATAGGCCATGCACTATAAGCTCTTGTTCTAAACTGAACATTTTCTGGCCTTGGCTCAGTGTCTAGGTACTAGGGGAGGCCACAACATCAGGAGGATGCATGGGAGGACCACAGAGTCATAGTCCCAACTCCCTATGGCCTCCCTCTCCTTCTCCTAGCCTGACAGCCTCTTTCTCTGTACCACACCCACTGCCTGCTTTCACCACTCTCCTTCAGACTCCTTTGAAATGCTCCTATTGTATTGCATGCCCTTGCTTTCCCCTACTCCTATTCCAGCCTTGGAGGATATCCCTCACCCCACACTGTGGACCCCACTCTGACTAAAATCACCCACACAAAGGTCACTGCAGAGCTTTATGCATTCCTAAGCTGAGCTCCTGGGAAGGAGAGGTTCTGATCTCTGCTGTGGAGTGTTCTGGTTGGAGTCCTTTGGGTATCAAGGGACTTTGAGAGCCAGGCCAGGAACAAGGGGAAGAGAGTTGGGCTTTTCTCTGTTTTAGAGAAGCTTCAGAACTGTTCCACACTGTGACCTCACTTTCACCTTCCCTGGGCCTGAGCATCCCCTGAGCCACAAGAACAAAAGGAAAGTTTTAGAAGATCACAAGTGGAGGGGAGATACAGAGGGGGTCACAGTGGGATCCAGCCGAATAGCACTGAAGCCCTAAGGTCCTGAGGGAGCCCAGTGCAGGATACTATGGAAGTTCTACCCTAACTGTGGGAGCCAGTGACCAAACACATACTCAGAAGTGACTTTTGCTCCCAAAGGGGCTTATACCCCAACACTATTTCTCCTCAGAGCTGCAGCTCTCCCCTCTTGTACACAGCTGAGTGACCCTTGGGAGCCTGCACACCAAACAGAGGAATGGCTTTCATCAGAACCCTGCCCTGCTCTGCCCTCAGAGCATCGGAGTTGTTCAGTTATGGCTCTGGGTACAGCCTTCCCTGGAGAGGTTGATGTCACACCTTCTACTCTTCTGGGCCCTCAGCCCCTGGAGAAAGTATGGTTATGCCAGTGACAAATCTCTCTCTCTGTCTCTCTCTCTCTCTCTCTCCCCCTCCCCCTCCCTCTCCCTTTTCTGTTGTATGAGCCCCTAATCACAGATCAAAAAGCTTCCCTCTGCAATGCCTTTTGTGAGCCTCCCCCTCCCCCTCCCCCCTCCCCTAAAGGGCACCCAGGTGTGGTGTTCAGCAAGCCCTCAGGAAGTATTGTCTGGACTAAAAGGTCCAGCTGAAAGGAAGGGAAGATTATTGCATCCTAGGACAATAAAGTAGGTGTTGGATAGTTTGGTTTTATTTTATATTGCCCAACATTTTCCTAACCAAACCAAATTCAACATATTCCTGCTACTGGAGTTCTCTGATGCTGCTCAGTCTCTGTCTTTCTGCAGCTCAGTTCTCTAGTCTTCCTTCTGATACTGGGATCTATCTCTGCCCACTCCATAACCTAATTAATTCCTTCTCAGCTGAGCTGGCCAAAGATGGTCTTTGTTGATTATATCCAAAGCACCGTGATTGTGCTGGGTGACAATCCCACCCAACTCCCAGTGCTATGCCTCCAGGGCTCTTTCAGGGAAGAATGTCAACATAATGCATTTATATGTGTGTACATGCAAGCAAACACACACACATGCACACACACACACACGCCCTACCTCCACTGACACCACCATCTGGATCTGAAACTAGGAGCCAGAACCTAATCATTTCTTTCTGCCAGATTGGCAGAACCATGTTAGCAGAACCAGAATTTTGGCTAGGCCAGCCTTTCAGAGTTTGCACCATTGAAAAATTTTCCTGAGCCCAGGCTGACTCTAGAAGTAACTCAGCTCCTTACCCACTGGGGCTCCGGGGCTTGTTGGGCAGCTCTGCCTAACCTCTCACTCACTGCCTCCTGCCTCCCTGTTCAGGGAGCACACCCCCATCCCACCTTTTTCTTTCAGAAGTCCCCAAAGAAATGAAACCAGAAGAAGCTTTTTTGAGGGAGTTAAAATACAGAAGTTGTCCAAAGTACAAAAAGGAAAATGACAACATTCTCTCCTTTGACACAAGCTTCTGCCCAGATCCTGTGGCAAAAATCACATGCACAGTCCCTCAGATTCCTCCTGCATGATCCCAGAGCCCCAAGTCCTTAATCACACCGTACAGTTCACTTCGACATTCTTTACAAGCCATAGCTTCAATGGGATTGATGCTGACATCACATATCACATTGGTTATTATTTTGAGAGGGCAGAGGAAGCCCCAGCAGGACACTGAGTAACCCTGAGCAAAGTAACCAGCCTGTCAGAGCCCCAGGTTTCTACCTGTGAAATGGGGCTAAAATATCTCCACAGTCAAGCCCTGATCTCCCAGGGTATAACTAACTGTGATAAATCATCATCCCCTTTCTCAAGTAAGTCCTTTTGAAGCACCTTCACTAAGCTTCCATTCCCTGAGCTCACACAAAGATACATGTAAACACTCATGCACACACATTCACACATACACTCACACACTGAAGACCTACACAAATACATATATACCCCTACACAAACACACACTAATGCCTGTGTACACTTGCATATACCCATATATATCACACTTATATGCACATAAACACACATGCCCACAATACACTAACATGCTCACGCAGTCCTCCCCCTCTCCCTCTCATCTCAGACACTTCTCCAACGGTCATCATCCCAAACAATCTTAAGAAAGAAGAAGAGAAAGAAGAAAGGAAGAAATGAATATGGAGAATGAGAAACAAGAAAAAGAGCAGATGAAAGCAAAATAATAACAAGGAAAAGAGCAAAGGAAGGGCCGAGAGATCGTTTAGTGGCTAAGAGCATTGGCTGCTCTTGCAGAGGACCCAGGTTCAGTTCCCTGTACCCACTCACTCGTCCTTAACTCCAATTCCAAGGGATCCGACTCCCTCTTCTGGCCTCCATGGGCATTGCACGACATAGGTGCACTTACATACATGTGGGCAAAACACTCATACACATAAAATTTTAACAATAAATACTTTTTCAAGGGAAGGAAAGAAAGGTACGAAGAGTGTGTGCATGTTTATGAGTGCATGCATGTTTATGTGTGAGTGTATGTGTATTAGTGTGTGCACTTGTACATATAAGTATTTGTATATGAGTGTGAGTATTTGTATGAGTGTGTGCACACGGGTGTGTGTATAGAACCGTGGCCTGCCTCCGTGACGGCCACCTCTGACTCATGCATCAGCACTGCTTGGGGCTGATCACACAGGCAAGCGCAGAAGATGCCCTGCAAAGTCCAGCTCAGGCCCTACTCTACTTCTATCCTCTCTGAAATTAGCCAGATGGAAGCCCCTCAAAATGGAAAATGACATGACACTGACATGGCTTGTTCCTGTGCAAACCGATGCCTCTGATTGAATACTCACTTCTTCTGTATGGACTCCCACTCTTTCTTTTTATACTAGGAACTTTCTAGAGTCAACTTCAGACTCGCAAGTCTTATCCATCTCCAGCTTTCATCTACATCTCTCTTGATCCCTAGGCTTCTCAGATCATCACTACACACGTGGGGGTTCATCTCCTGGCCATGCCACATCCTGACCACTGAGTTCTCTGGGTTAGAAGGCCCCTCATAGAGCGATTGGTGTTCCCTCACGCCTCCTTTACCACCAATTCCTGTCACCATCATGTGCACCTGTAGAATCATTCTCTGTCCAGCTGTTCTCTGTGCAGAGTGGAGCTGCCCCTTCCTCTCTCTCCTCCCACAGACACCAACTGTCCTAGGCAGTGATGGATCTATGAGGTCCTTGTTCGCCTTGCTCCAAATCTAATATGAAAAGAGTCTTTGTTGTCCTCAGCTGTCTTCAATGGCCTCAGTTCATCCTGGGCTCTCCATCCTAATATTAGTTACTGATCCTCATCACTCCATCATTGTGTGCGTTCCAATAAGGGGCTTTTCTTATTATCCTTCTTTCTTTTCACTCTAGTGTCCACAAGATATCCCTCTGAATTATAGACATGGTTCAGAACCACTCCATGTTCTTCTATCTGAAAAAGAAACTGGTTGAATTCCAAGACCCTCCTACCACTCTCAGAAGACCTGAAATCATGGGACTATAATGTGACAATCCTGTGATCCTGCAAACTTCCCGACACCAAGCTTTCCAAATCAACAGGGTAGATATCATACATGCCCATCTTTCCTACCGTAGAAAATACTTCTTTCTATAGTTCCCTAGCATCCTGAGCCACGAACTATGGTACTGTTATTGACCAACACAGTAAGTACTGTATCCTGGGAGTCAAAAGCTGTTCCCAGCCCAGTATTTGAAAAGCATGGTTTTTTTTTTATTATCCATTCTTGGGTACCAACTGCAAACTGACTGTTCCAATGTCTAGGAGGCTCTGGCTACATTTTCCTATGGAATCCTTCTGTCTATGCCTTAGTCAGGTTGTCCATCAACCATGAAGTCCAACATCCACCTGGAGGTCAAGTTCATGGGCCCCAGGGACAGAAGGCTTGGATTCCATCGTGCTCTGCCCTTACCTACTCTAGAACTTCTGTTTCCCCATATGTAAATAAGGGTGTGCCTAACCTCATTGGATTGTTGTAAAGATTGGTTGGACCAGTATATCTAAATTGCCAAGGGGCCTGGCTCAGCACACAGTTTGAAGACAAGTTACTGTCATATTTATCACAAGGCGACAGTCACTTCATGGCCACCTTTCCATTACTTGTGCACTCCTAGGAACTAGTACATAGCAGTGCTTAATGAATGAGAAATAGCCAGGGCATTTCTCTCTTTTCTTGTTCCATTTATAGACAACAAAATTCTTGGTAAATAACTGGGTGACTTTATTTTCCTCAGAGTTCTAAAGGTACTCTTAACCTCATATCAACTCTAGTTGATTTGAGTTGTAGCTCAGAAACTGGGCTTTTTGGTGACACCATGTGCACTGCTAGGCTACCTCTTGTGTCTCTTTTCTTCTTAGTCAGAACAAAGCAAGGCATAAAACACCTCCTGTGCATCCATTCTTTTGATAACCTTAGTTTCTAGAGGATTCTCAGATCCTTTTGGAAGATTCCAGAGAATAATCATGCATTGACCTCCACTTCATAAGGATGGTAAGCTCCCATGTTTTCCTATGGGGACTGTGTGTGTATTTCTAGGCATTTCTTAACCCTGGGACACTGGGAAAATTGAAAATTTAACATTGTCCAGGCTTTCCTGAAGACAGTCTGGTGGTACCTTGGGGAAGAAGCAGCTTGGGATTCCTGGCCAGCTGCCAGAGTCTCCATGTCCAACTAAGGCTCTATCCTTCCGGCAGCAACGCCTCTTGTGCTCAAGCAAAGCCAAATGTTCCCAGGACACAGCCAGTCCCCAGGACCCCAGTGAAGCTAGACTTCACCCACCTTGTCCATGTAGACCCACAGAGAGGTAGATGCCATCTCATCACCTTCTCAGTTACCTAGGAGTCTACAGAAACAGCCAGTGGAAGCAGAGGGCAAAAATAGCTCTTCATTGTATTAACCATGTCCAAGGACAGCCATGACTTAGAGCAGGGAGCAGCAGTGCACTAAACATCACCAACTGGCCAATAATTCACATATAATCTGTGGAGTTGAATTATCCCTAAGCACTCAAACTCCAGGGAATAATCTGGGCTTCAATCTCAGCCTAGTTAACCACTAATTGTATGACCCTGAACAACAGCTCTGGTCATCAATCTCCTTATAAGTAAAACTGGGATGGTGATCTTTACTTCAGGGTGTTTTGGTCGTATTAAACAAGGGTCTGTGTAAGATTTAAGTAACTGGAAGCTCTTGCTTATATTTTCTAATAGCACTATTAGAAAATCCAGTGGTAACAACTCTAGGGCAGCATTCAAGGGAGAGAGTACGTGGTTTATCTACCAGGCTGCTCAATCAAACTCTCTTACATGCAACAGTAGCACAATTTAAAGAGAGAATGGCAATGGCATTCTTATAGAGACACAAACCATGTGATGGAGGAAAGTATGTTTAAAACATTGAAACTCAAGACTTTTCTTTGTATTCTTTAAAAAAAAAAAGAAATAGTTTTAAATGTAAGTTGCCACCTCTTCCATTTCTGAATAAGAAACCTGCTAAGCAAATCTGACATGTGATTCTCAAGCATTTGAAAAGCATCCCTTTCGTCACCACCATTACAAGTTCTGTTTCATTGGAGTCAGAGGTTGACTGACTGACAAAAATACTTTTGAACTCTCCAAGGCAGAGGACAGAAATCAAAGCTCCATGCACACACCTGTCAGTTGTCCAGGATTCTTTGGCATAACATGGAAAATTCTTTCCCCAAACACACTCCAATCCCCCTTGATCAGATTTAACTTCTGCCTAGTATTTGTGACTTACCTATTACCAAGCTTCCTTTTCTGCATCAGGTAAAAAGTTAACTTGGCTGAATTATCATTAAAGAGCACAATAAACTACAATATCAGCTTCATTGCTTCTAAGAAGCCAAAATTGCAAGCTTTAATCAGTAATTAACATCTTTAAAACACAAATGTTTTATATGCTTTTAAATATAAAGCTATATATCATACATAACGTTAAACACTGAATTCTGTCCCTTTGACAAGACTAAATCTTTAACAGGAAATAAAAATTGCTTTTATGATCCTTAACAATTAATCAGACTGAGTTTCCTGGATTCTTTTTTTCTACTTTGTATGTACCCAAGGTAGTCTTTGATGGTAACATGAAGGATTTTCACATTTGTCATCCTACCTAATGTATGTAAAAACATTGCTTTCAGTTATCTTAGTTTTGGTAACAACATGTGCACTATCTCATGCAGCATTCTTTATGTCACAGTGTTTATTCATCAGCAATAGTGATAAATATTTACTTTAGAGATTTACCGTTTCTTCTGTTTGCATTCAAAGGTTTCATGCATCGCCCTGGGGTCCCATTGTCTTCCCACAACCGGGACCTGAACCCCACCCCCTCTGTGCTTGCCCAGGAAGCATGCATGGTTGGAGCTGTCCCCTAAATGCTGCTGCAAGAAATCAGCTTTCCGGGTGTGCTGTCTGTGCCTGTTAGGGAAGAAAATGATGTAGAGAAAAGGACTCAAGGTCATATCAAAACCAGGTGTTTTCTTTCTTTTCATCCTGAAAACTCAGAGATACATAATTTGGTTATTTATGTGTTTTCTCACAACAGGCATTGAACAAGCGACATTTCCAGATCTTTGGAAATATCTGTTGGAGAAAGGGTCTGGGGCTGAGGCAGGGTTCTTACGATAGCGCCGGGCACAAGTCCTGTTGAGAATAAGGGAGTAAAGGGGTGCATGCATGGAGGCGTGAGATCAAGAACTGCAGCCCTCAAAGTCAACCTCGTGGGGGGGGGGAACATACAGAATTTTGTACAGAAAAGAAGT